TGTTTTCTTTACCCAGGCTGTAGACTGTAGGCTACACATAAAATCTGCATAGTCATGGAAATAGAATATGTTGACATTTATCCCAGGTCGTCATTTTGACCTAGTCGCTCCACTAGTATAATGTCAGCCTTGTATTAAATGTCATTTTCTCTTTCCCTACATGTTTACATTGGAATGTTGTTTTTTTTACTCCAACTAACCATTTCTAATGAATCTAATAGAATTAATATTTAGAAAGTCTTCTCAAGGTTCTACTCTCGTGGCCTACTATTTAGGCCTATTGAAAGTCTTAATCATGGCTCTTTACTTTAATCTCTACACTTAAGACCTACTTAAAGTTATACTAATTAGTCTAAACACCTACGGCCTACTTAAAGCACTAGCAGAATCCAACACAATTAATCGGCGGTGGAGGGGGGGATTTTTTTTAAAACCCTAAACACATGGAACAGAACGATGGTTAAACGCTGTGGTGGAATTCGACCGTTTTAATGCGTGCAAAACGGATATAATTGGTTTGGCTGATACATATAAATGTCTAATTTATAAGATAATTTTGAATAACGATTTTAATTGATAAATATTTAAATATGAACTAATAAGCCCTAACACAATGCAAAGAGATCCTTTTTTCCCCTAGGAAATAAAAGACACCTTCACCACCACCCTCAGCAAAAAGCGCCCCACATGTTGAGAAAAAGCTGATTTAGATTAAGGGGAGTTTAAGTGTTGTCCCCGAAAAAAAAGTCTTCGTAAAATAATACAATAGTACAATCTGAGACTGAGAAAAAGGAAAATGCGAGACAGTATTGGAGCTGAAAATACTTTGTTCTGCTTCAAAACTTCAAAGTTTCAAATGAATTGTAAATTCTCCAAAAAAAAAGTCTTTCATAAATATAATAGAGAATAGAAATTGTATAACCTGAAGAATGATATAAAAACTGTTACCATATTTGACAGTCATATTTTCTCTGCGGAAATGAGGAGGTGTGGCAGAAGTAAAATGTAAGAGTTCTCTCTCCATTTCATTCTCTCTATTTCATTCTCTCCGTTTCATTCTCTCCATTTCATTCTCTCTATTTCATTCTCTCCGTTTCATTCTCTCCGTTTCATATTAATTACTAACGATTACATTAGCTGGGAGGGGAGAGAACATATGGAACTAATGGAACCGATCCTCTCCGGCCTCAATATACACTTTATGCCTCTAGTTGGAGTGGACGGAGTGTCGTGTCATGTGCTGTGCATGGCCCCAAGGTTGTATTTGGGGCATCCACTTGTTGCCCTCATCACATTGTCCCACTACTAAAGCCCTTCAACGTGTTATATACATTACAGTTACAGTATTAGCAAGACAATTAAATGGCTCATTTGTAGTAATTCTTTTATTGACTTCAATTATTGATTTCCCAGGACATTTGTCATTTGAATTTGTCAGAAGTCACACTTGTCATGAGATTTTAAGGGCGTATCACTTTAAAAGAATACAGATACAATATTCATTTTGGATCGCATATTAATAGTTTTGTTGTTTTTTTTGTCTTTTTTTTTTTATTCATCGTATTTGATAAATTTCGTGAAAGACAGGATGAAAAAGGGTTAGATCCCTAAAATATAATATCTTAGCAACTTGAGGGGAAGCTAAAGCGATGCCTTTTTTTAATAGAACCTGTGCTATAAACACTATAATTCTGACGGTACGTTGTCTGCTGTTTTCTGTGATAAGAGTTATGCACCTTGATTTTTACTGAAATATGTCTGTTAATGTGTGTTTGTTTAAAGCTCAATGCTCTCGCCAATTAATATTGAGATATTTATTATACATTTTTCCTAATGACATTAATAAAGATATATGTAGTGTATATTGTAGTTTGTTATAGATTAGGCCTATCAAAGTTTTTTTTCTCTCATTATAATTTAATAGTACGCTACTTGTAGGGGTACAGTTTTCTAAGCCATATTATATACTTTGTTACTCACGCATTTGGTAGATTTAAAAGTAATAGATAACTTTTTTTTCTATTGTTGTCCCAATTATTCAGGAAATTTAAAAACTCTTACGATTAGTTTAATTAATTTAATTTTTAAAAGGTTATTCTGTTTATCAGTTGTAGACCTACATCTGAAAGAAAGCTAGTTACTGTTGGAGTTATCTACTATTTTATAAGATTAATAGGCTTAGAGGTCCAACTACTCATGTAACTCGTAAATGTGTACAATATGTAATTTTTTTTTCTATTAATTAATGTTGTTTAATGATTGAAATACTACAAAGCCAGAGGCGTATTGCGGCAATCATTACACAATTAGCATAATTACATCTTCAATTTTCTTAAATCCCAATTTTATTTCTTCCAACATTTCCTCTTTACTTCCTGCTGACTAAGAAAAAAACATTTGCTGATTAGGCACAAAATCAAACAGTATCGTTCAGCAGTCATAAACATCTGGAGCTTGTTGGTGTTTAGCTTGACCTAAAGCAGAGGTTCTAAATATGTTCAACTAGGATACAGAAGCCAATATGTTTAGACAAAAAGAAGAAGTCGTATTAATACTATCCAATAACAAAGGATAGAATGAAAATTTATAAAAAAAAATACAAATATAACTTGGTGAAAAATAGAAAGAAAAAAGAGAGAGAGAGAGAAAGAAGTGAAGAAAGAAAAGGGGAAAAGAGAAAGAAAAGAAAGAGTTAAAGTAAATCAGAAAAAAAAAGAGAAAGTAAAAAAAAACAACAACAATAAAAGTTAAAGAAAGAAAAGGTTAGAGAGAGGTTGGAAAGGAAGAATATTTAATTTACTTAGGTTGATTTCAAAGGTTGATTTCAAAATTTTAAAATCTTCTTCTTGTTACAGCGATGGTTCGAACATCGATTGGCAAGATGGCGGCAACAGCAAGGCTTACCAGCGAACAGTGGTTCTGTCTGTGGATAAAGATAGATGCACCAGTTATACAGCTAACCCTAACCACAATGGCAAATCCTAACCTCAATGACAAGGCTAATACAGTATCTATGTGTGTAGTCATATGATAAATGTTAGCCATACAAAGGGCAAAAACAAAGTTTTCTATTGTCTTGTTGTGATTATGCATTATTAGTCCCAGACATAGTTTTTATTATTTGACATTTCTGTGTGAAATGTGAATTAATATTTAAGAAACCAGATATCTGATTTCCTAATAGTCAATAGTTTTAATATCTTGTAATAGTACTATTCATAATATGAATGTTAGGGTTAGGGTGAATTAATATTTAAGAAACCAGATATCTGATTTCCTAATAGTCTATAGTTTTTATATCTTGTAATAGTACATTTCATAATATGAATGTTCATTACAGACCTAGGAGCCAAGATTTACATTTATATCTTCAATTATGAAATAATATTTTTACAACTCTATTAGAACTAAACATTTAAATAGTTCAAATTGAGTGGAGTGACGTAGATTGCCGAGCTAATTAAGTTATTGTAAACCATGAGTTGATGTGCTCGTTTCTAGGATTTTAATACTTGAGAGAATCCTCATGACCTGGTTAGAACTCTGTCTTCTCTTCCTTACCTGAGTCCTTATTTGTGTATGTGTTTGGGTGTAATTCTTGTGTGTGCTTGTGTGTGTTAAGTTGCTTTTTTATGTTAATCTTCAAATAATGTTTCATGTTCATTTGTGTTTAGTATACTGATATCTGTGATGAAATCATTTTGTGTTTATGTTATCCATTTAATATATCTTGTATTATGTATACTATAACCTTTATACATTATTTTACATCCATACTATATTCTTACAAGTGCAATAACTCTTATGTAAAAAGATTGTATGTGACCATCATGTTAGCACATGTTATTGTTAGCTCGTATTTATCTTAAACTTCCGGTGTTTGAATTTTAAAATGTAACAGCCATACTTTTTCTGGCTGATATGACGACGTGGTCTTCGGACCAAAAAAGTTATTAGTTCTAAATTTCAACTGTCTACATCGACTTTTATTGAGAAAATCGGATAAAACATGACAAAAATGTCTCTTATACAAATAATTTATTTAATGAGCTTTTATTTTGTTTAGTGCTTTTTTTATTATTTTAAAACTAAAAATAGAATATTTTGTGTGGTCTAAATGTAACATGGCAAGCTAAAATTGAGTGTTTAATGTTTTATTAAGTTAATACAGATCTACTATTGTTTTAGATATTTTACTTTTGATTTTTTTTTTCTGCCACTACAATGTTATCAAGACTCTGATGTCTTTTTGTTTCTTAAGTCATTTTTTTGTGTAATGTACTTTTTTTCTTAAAATTTGTATCTGGAGGCACTATGTCATCTCATTTTGATATCTTAACCCTGGGAATTCCCACTAGTATTTAGATATATTATGTAATCAGTTGCCCTTATGTACACAGATTCGCTATGCATGACTTTATATTTATATTATTCTTTAAAACAAAAATACATTATTTTCAATGTAGAACTGAAATATTTCTCAACTATTATTGCAATTTGACTAATGTCTATACATGACCAACAAGTAAAAAAAAAAAGGTACCTAGCTTGATATAGCTTGACCTTAACACATCTGAATAAATTGACCTTTTGGCATTTGAATAACTTAACCCATTCACTGCATTCCTCTCAATGAACTTTAACCATCACTATATGATTGTGTTCTGTATTGTGTTTGGACGTTTTCATTATTTGATCTACCTCTTTTGCTTATAAGAGCTAAAATATTTATGTTTATTACCTAGTTACATTCATTTGAGTGATGATACATTCATTTGAGTGATGTTACATTCATTTGAGTGATGTTACATTCATTTGAGTGATGTTACATTCTTTTGAGGGATGTTACATTCATTTGAGTGATTTTACATTCATTTGAGGGATGTTACATTCATTTGAGGGATGTTACATTCATTTGAGGGATGTTACATTCATTTGAGTGATGTTACATTCATTTGAGTGATGTTACATTCTTTTGAGGGATGTTACATTCATTTGAGGGATGTTACATTCATTTGAGGGATGATACATTCATTTGAGTGGTTACATTCATTTGAGTGATGTTACATTCATATAAGGGATGTTACATTCATTTAAGTGATGTTACATTCATTTAAGTAATGTTACATTTATTTAAGTGATCCTACATTTATAGTAATTATGTTACATTCTTTTATCTTTTCCTTGATCACTATAACATTGATATTATGGTAAAGGAATAAATGGTTTTATGTTGATCACAAATGGCCCCATTTGTCAAATAGCTTAGGGCTTATCAAGTTTACAGTCAGGCTCTTGTTCTCAGTCTCCTACTCGGGGTGAAACCTAACTTTGTCCACAACGAATGGTCTGCTGTCTTTAGGTCCTTGGGATAATAGAATGTTCTGTGTCTCATTGGACAATCTAGAACAATGATTTAAGTTACAATTTGAAATTGTTTCTTCTTGTTAAAAAGATATAATGATTACATTGTTTAAAAAAATTATTATACTATTTATGTTTAAATATCAAATCTTTTTAGAACTTTGTTTTTCTTAGTCTATGCTCTCTATGTCTATGTTGTTGTTTTTTATATATCTTTGTTTTTTATTTCTATATTTTCTATGTCTATGTTTTCTTCACCATTTTTTAAGGCTCAATTCCTTCCATTTGTTTTAATGTTTTCACTGGTGTAGGTTTAAATTTGAACACTGTTTCAAGACATCCACTTTTCTGGTAATTCATGTAGATTTTACTTCTTTTAAATTTTTTAAATGAAATTTACTTGTCTAGAAGTAGCAGTCTGATCAATGCAGTCTGAATTTTTAACGAGACATTGGCTATAAAGTAGGTCAGATTGGAAAAAAAATGAAACTTTAAAATGACATTTGGAATATGCATACAACCAATTTTTAATTGGTTTGTTCATATTTTAGGATAACATTTATTCATAGCTGAAATTTTTATTTTTCAAACATGATACTCTACTATTCAGGAAATAACTTCTGCCATAAATAAGATAGAAAAACTTTTAAAAATAGAATTGAGTGTGTAATATCTTTGTTGATGATGTAGCTTTTCATTAATGACTCCAAAAAAAATGTATCTATAATGTTTTTGATTTGTTTATTTATAACATATAGGCCTAATAGTAAACAAATAACATTTTTTACCCTTACAATATAAACATTTTATGTATTTCTAGCTTTTGAAGTACAATTTGTGTAAACATATTTTTGAATTCTAAAAAAAAAAAAGAACTATATCTAGTCAATCAAATAAATTGTTCAATGAAAATATTTTTATTTTTATTATTTTGAAACAAACAAAAAATCCAGTCCCTCTTTTATTGAGCCTAATTGTATAGTCCTTAATTATTCTTTAATATAATAATTAGGTAATTTGTGTATAAACTGAATACATGGGAAAAGTTCTGTTGTAATGAATTTTATTTGACTTACTGAAACTTTCCAGTGTCAGCATTTCACAGTCTTTACTCTCATGGTCCACAACTGTGTAACTTTAAAAACAGTTTGAATTTATTGAAAGACAATTTTTTCTTTTGAAATATGAAACGTCTCTGATGAATATGCCTTTAAAAACATATTTTAAAAATGGTTTGGACTTTCTATCCCCCAAGATCATCTTTAATAAAATAACTTGCTTGTTAATGAGGCACATGTATGTGTCTGTCATTGTGTCTGTGTGTATCAGTGTGGATGTGTCGGTGTCTGATTCTATTTGAGATGTGGAGGACCATTTTGAGAACTTGTAAGTATGAATTGAGCATATAATGTTAATATTTGAACACATCTTTTTACAAAGCTTGTGTCAGCTCAGTCCGTCTGTCTGTCTGGTACAAATGTTTTACACCTTATTTCTCCAACTTCCCATTCTCGGATCAAGTTGAAAATTTACTCAAAAACATTAATAAATAATATTAAAAAAATTAAACAATGGATTATTTGTAATTAATTAATTTAGTTTAATATATAGAAAATGGGAAATAAATCTATTTTGTAAAGATATGGCAGTAAACGTGAAGTTCTTTCCCTTATATAAGCTTTTTAAAAAAGTATCTAAATCTATATATACGATTCTCTTCATGGCTCAAGAGTTTGAACACCAAGTAATGGAAAGATCACTCTTTTATTTCTGCAAGTCGGATGGAGTAGAGTTACCCCAAGTAATTTTAGAGGCTAAAAAAAAAAAGGGGGGGGGTGAGAATAAGTAGTATTCACCCTTCACTAAATAGCAGGGCCGGACTTAACCATTGTGGGGCCCAATGCGAAACGGATTTCGCGGGACCCAATTTGGGTAGGGCTACGGATAATGGATAATAAGTGGAAATTAAGAGTTTGTATTAGAAAATATATTGGTCTTTGCATTTTATTCATTCTTTACTACGCACAGAATTACTACACGAGCCTTGCGTGTAGTGAAGTCATACACTATATCAAAAAAATTCTGTTTCCTACATAGATCACTCTCAATAGCAAGAATTACTAAATGTTTCAATCTATCTTGTTGACCTCAAGAAATTCTTCATTAGTTTGATGCGCGAGAAGCTTTTTTCACCAGATTCTACAATTACGTGATAATGCCATTTTTTTTCATCGCACGTAGGATTGGCATTTTTCATATTGAATGAGACCCCAAAAGGACAATTTTTTTCTATATATTTCAGGAGATTTGTATGAGTTTTCAAAATATTTTAATAATTTCCGGAGTTTTCCAGGACTTATTCGTATATTTTGTAATTTCAGGAGATTTCCAGGAGCTCCTGGTAAAATAGGCGGCCGCTGAGAAACTGTTATAAGTTATAAAATGGTTTAATTTAATAATTTACACCTAGGATTAGCGTGGGGGCTATGACAGTGTGTGGCCCACTGCGGTCGCATAGGTTGAGGTGCCCTAAGGCCGGCCCTGCAAAATAGCGGCGTATGCTACGCTCAGGTCGACTAGTTTTTTATAATTTGCTTGTTTTTTGTTGCTGTTTTTTTTCTGAAGGAGGGCTGGAGGAGTTTGTCAGTCCTATGTTAATTAAAGTACATATAATTGTATATCTGTACCTGGTGAGCAGCTCAGCAGAGGGCCGTGATGATTCCAAATGTCACGGACAACATCACTGAAAAAAAAATTATTAATAAAATAATAATAAAGCTAGTCTAATGGGGGCCAAGCCTGTGCACCTTCATTATGTTCTGTGGGTGGAAATCTGGATAAGACAAATACCATAGTCTGTCTTTTTAAATGGAAGTAAATTTAAGTGTATTATGGAGTATAGTTAAACAAAATTTTACACGATTTTAATTTAATTTTTTTTGTAACTAATATCAACAACATAAAGATTTTAACGTCAAATGATATTTTGAAAATATATAATTAGTACAATTTAAAAAGTACACGTATATGAGAGATGAACATTGTAGTGCCTAATATCAATTTGTAAAAACTATTATTTTTTTAACCATTATTTGGTAAGCAATTTAAACAATGAGGTGTAAACATAGTCACTTTTTTTTTAGTAAGTAAGAAACATATCATAAATTATTAAATTCTATAGGCCTATCAATATTTTTTTTTAAATTTCCACAAAGACAATGAAAACACTTACATATAAGGAAAACATTTCAGGTCTCCAAACAAAAAAAAACAACATTTTCTACGTTTTGACCCCTGCGATAACTCACGAAAGGACCCAACCGTTGAGAAAAACCAAAAGGGAGCGTCGCAATAATTGCATCCCTTGAAACTGAAACAAAACTTGAGAAGCCACAAGCTGGAAATACAAAACAAATAGAGCTGCAAAAAGCAAAGGAAATGAATTTTTCCTCCAATTGATGGGAAAGTACATAAAGCACTAAACCATAATCTTCAAATACAAAAACAAAATTTAATAAAATACTCAGAAAGACACAAAGATAAAGGCACATTCCTCGTTCCATATGCTAGGACACATTTGTACAAAAGCTTCTTCTTCCTTAGCGCTATTAGAGCATGGAATGGGTTGCCTGAACCAGCTAGGAAAACCAGTGACTTGGCGGAGTTTAGGTCATTGGTTAATATGCATGGCTAAATGCATGACGCGTAGGACGTAATCATCTTCTTTTTTGAAGTAACGTCTGTATTATATAAGATAAGAAGAATGTTCAGGTCTTAAGTTCTAATAAAGAGTTCAGAAGCTTGAACTCGACCTTCAAGTGTCTTGATTTTATTCTTCTGTGCCAAACCTACCACTGTAATTGTATGTGAGCTTGAACAAAAGGGTTAGACAGGTGATGAATTTTACTACTGGCCCAAAGAAGCCAGTCTGAGTAGCGGTGCAGAGAACCATTAGCATTGCATCTGTATTGATTTAGTGTTGTCGGAGAGAATCAGGTCAAGTGTTCGAGTAAATATAGATGAAACTATCCCATTTATTGATTCCTTCTGGTGAGTTGTCATTCCTTTAGATCATCTCTGATTAGAACACTTTCAAGACATGTCCGCATGATATGGACTCCATTCATTAGAGACAGCGCTATGGTCATCATTGATTATAGACAATGATAATGACACCATTCATTAGAGATAGTGCCTATAGTACTATTGACATAATTCCTTAGAGAGAGTGCTATGGGCATCATTGATTATTAACTGAGCTTATGACACCTTTCATTAAAGATAGTGCTATGGACATCATTCCTTAGAGACAGTGCTATTGACATCATAAAATTGACAAACATCTGCGTGTTATAAACACCGTCAATAAATGTATTGAAAATCATATGATAAACTGAATTTATGGAACTGAACGTGCATTCCTAAAGGTTAATTGTCTAAACATATGTTACGAAATTTAAAACATCAAATGAAAAATTCACTGTCCTTTATTTATTGATAATCATTTTTTTAATTAATCAAATACATTAAATAGATTTTTTATATCATTTTTCAAATGTCTATGTCATTTATCTAAAAAAATAATAACATGAAATAATAACTTTGTCATTTACCTACGAATTATGACTTAGAATAA